CTGCTGGGGAGGCTGAGGCAGGAGAATTGCCTGAACCCAGGAGGCGGAGGTTGCGGTGAGCCGAGATCGCGCCATTGCACTCCAGCGTGGGTAACATGAGTGAAACTCCGTCTCAAAAAAAAAAAAAGCCCATACACTTCATCTGTTGGGAACAGAAAGAAAGTCATTTTCAGTTGACTGACTCTGTAAAACAGATTACCAATATAACAAGCTATGTTATCTAAATTGCCCTGGCAGTCTTCAGTTTTGTCTAAGTAAACAAAGTAAAAGGGAAAATAAGGATGCAGGCCTAGTAACAGCTGCAGAAAAGATGAAACTACAAAGCCACAATGACCTGTGGGCAACCTCCACAGAGACAAGCTGAGGTGTCAGACTGATCCTGGTAACGCATACTCCATGGCTGCAGGAAGATGCTGGAGTGCATCAAGTGGGTGGTCGGAACTACAGTGGATTCCACTAGGCAATGTAAGTTGGTTAGTGGGTTCCTGTACATGCCTGTAACAATAAAATTTCTAATGTCCCCCATTCTAACTGGCCTCCATAACTATCCAGAATCAGTGATGCCTGCCATCTGTTCATCTTAAAACATAAATTCTGAGACTGTTTTCTAAAATTAGCACTTCCTACTACATATCAAAGATGAAATCAAAAGCTTTTATATACATACATGTGTGTGTTAATTCTAATTGTCAGTAAAAATGTGAATGTTGAAGTTGGCACCTGTGTAGTAATCAGAATACTTGCAGGTAAGGGAACAGACAGTATACTTTACGAAGCTAAAAGAAGACTTGAGAGCTGATGCTTGCCGCTAACTGGATCCTGTCCATGTGGTCCAGCCGTACTTCTTGCTGGGCTGCATGTGCTGCCTTGGTCTGGGCTGCCCTCAGCATCCGACGTGAGCTGGGCTTTTTCTGCTGCAGGTTGACCTTCTGTATTCCCTGATGTGTCTCGGCCAGAGACAGACTTAGCAGGCTGGCTGCTTTCAGTACTGCTTTCTTTCAGTGTGCCTTCCCCAGGAATTCCACCAATCTCCATGGGCTTTGTATCCAAAACAGGTGATTTATGCTATAAAGTACAAAATTACATTTTGTTTTAACCATTTAATGTAATGTGGACTCTTAGTAATCAAACATGCCTTACAAGTTCCCACCTAAATCCGTTGTAGCTCCAGACTGTGTCAAATCCAGGGTCCAGTGCTGGATCATAACTATATAAATGTTGATTGAAACCTCACCATACTCTACAGGAGAACTCCCACGGAGGAGTGGGAACACTTAGGGCATACTCGGGGTCTAGCAGCCCAGCTTAGAAGGGGTCAAGAGAATTTGTAATCAGTATTGTTAATTTCTCTTGCCTGGTGAGAATAATTCATTTGACAAATATTTATTGAGCATATAGTAAGTTCTAAGTATTAGGGATACCGCAGGAACAAAATACATAAAACTGTTCTCACTAGAACTTAGGTTAGAAGAAAATCGCAAGTATGATATCTATGTTGAATTAAGGAGGCTATGTAGAAAAAGCAGAAAAAAGATGAGTGCTGAATGTGGAGTGGGCTGGTAGGGTCAAATTACAGTTTAA